GTTTAAGATTGGTGGTTATTGGTGTCAACCATCCCAGGGGGTCAAAGACCTTTGAAATCTCTGAAAGAAGTGCTCTTTTTGTGTTGATAGGATCTGGTTTGATCTCGAGTTGAAAGCTGAAGTAGTCCTGGTTAGGGAGCCAACGTAGTCCGAGTGTTTTGGTCGACTCTTGGTGTCTAAAATCGAATGGTTTTTGATTAGACTCCATCATATTTTCTTCTAAGAGCTCGGGCACGTTGGACGTCCATTTTCGTAAATTGAAGCCTCCGGTACTTAACATAGATATTAGGTCGAATTTAAGCTGCTGTGCTGATTCGACGCTGTGGTGTCCTTGAAGCACGTCATCCATATAGAAGCTGTTCTTTACAGCTTCAGCTGCTTCAGGAAATCTGTGGCCCTCATCTTTTGATAACTGTTTAAGGGTCATCATGGCCAAAAATGGAGCCGCCTTAGTCCCGTATGTTACGGTCGCGAGCTGGTATTCCTTTATGGGTTGATTTGGATGGGCTCGCCAAACAATCTTCTGGAAGCGCTGATCTTCTTCATGTACTAAAATTTGTCTGAACATCTTCTCGATATCCGCGGTGAAGGCTATCCTGTATTGACGCCATTTGATTATTAGGGATAGTAAGTCCCTTTGTAAATTCGGACCACGATACATAAGGTCGTTCAAACTAAAGCCGGACGACGTTTTTGCTGACGCGTTGAAAACCACGCGTATCGATGAGGTTGTTGACTGTTCGCGTATTACACAATGATGTGGAAGGTAACACTCATGTGTCGGGTTACGGTCACTGCACTCTGACATGTGTTTTAACTTTGTATATTCAGCTATAAATTCCTTATAGCGAGTGGCAATTGCGTCGTTTTTATTAAATTTATTTTCGAGTTGTAAGAATTGGGCTATGGCCTTAGATTTTGATTTTCCCAACTTCTCGTTCACATCTGGTACTAGAGGTAGGCGAACGACATACCGTCCGTCTTCACGGCGCTTGGTTTCGGTTTCATATTGTGAAATACATCTTTCATCTTCGCTTGGTATTGAAGTCGAACTATCGGCGATATCTTCTATTTCCCAAAACCTTTGTATGTCGCTAAGTTAACCATTATAACTGAATGGCTACTGTCTTTTTTAGCGCATTTTCCACTTATCATCCAACCGAGCTTCGTGTTTTGAGCTATATGCGGGGATGATTTTTCGCGGATTAGTCCGGGTAGAATGATTTGAGTATAAACGTCGACACTCAAAATTAAGTCTATTGGTTGACTTATATAGTACTCCGGATCCGCCAGTTTCACTTCCTTTAGGCTGTTCCAATTTGGTTTGTGTATGGTCTGATATGGTAAATTAGCGTTATGAATCATGTTTTTCATGATAAACGCTTTGGTGCTGAAAGTGAAGTCGTCATGTATGGATGTACCTATAATATCGACGACCCCCTTGCTCTGGTTCGCTTTGGATCCTACGCCGAATACTATCCACTTACAGCCTTTTCGCTGTAAAGCTAGCCTCTGGGCTGCGTTTTCGGTGATGAGGGAAGACTGGGCGCAAGGATCGACGAGGGCTCGCATAATGTGGTAGTTCCCGTCTGCCGCCTGCACCTTAATTTTTGCTGTTGCTAACAGCGATTCAGCTTGACTCTTGGCTGCTTGCGAAACGCATGTATGTAGAATCTGCTGATCTGTTTCAATTGGTGGCGACCCACTTGAGCGGTCACTCGCCGTTGTCGCTAAGGCGTCATGCAGCAACGTGTTGTGTTTTTCGTGACAATGACGACATGTTTTGGTAGAATTGCACTTAATTCCATTATGCGAGTATAGGCAGTTATTGCATAAATTTAATTTCGCAATTACGTCCCGTTTTGCTTTATTTTCTTTCAATAAAAATGTTTTACATTGATACAATGCATGATTATTTTTGCAGAGAGGGCAAAATTTTGATGGCTTCTTCAATGTCTTGTTGGTTATGTGGTTTATGAAAGATTTATTTGGTGCAATATTACTATGGTTGGTATTAACTGAAGACCTCCAATGATTTTTTGTGGAATTTTCCTGCAGCTGTTTCTTAAGTTGTTCTGGTTTCCGTCGCGAAGATTCTAAAGAAATAAATTTGACTTCCAGGAACTTGAGGAAGTCGTCAAGGGTTGGCAAGTCTCTTGGATTTAGTAGAGATGCGATATACTCATTGTGCGAGTCAACATCTAATTTTTGCGCGAGTATGTGGACGACTAATGGGTCCCAGGTCGATGTGTCGAGTCCTAGGCCTTTCACGGCGTTCAAACACTCTATGGTGGTGTCGTGTAGTTTTTTGATTGATGCTGCCGACTGATTTTGTATTACTGGCATGGTTAACAGTGTATTTATGTGCGAGCTGAATATAAGTTTCGTGTTATTATAGCGATTATTCAATATATCCCAGCAAATATGGTAATTGTCTGAACTTATTCGTAAATGCTGTACTAACTTTTCAGCTTCCCCTCTAAGCTTGCCTTTTAAGAATTGCATTTTTTGGGCATTCGATAGGGATCCGTTGGTGTGTATGGTTTCAGTGAACAGATCTTTGAACGACAACCACTGGTGGTAGTTACCGCTAAAAGTTGGTATTTCCATTTTCGGTGTGGATTGTTCCCTGTACGATGTTGACCACATTTTTCTATTAATTGCTAGCTTAATATCGGAGAATTGTTTTTCATATTCGAAGAACGAAGCTTCATATTCTGGGTTATTTTCGGAAATCAGTGTTAGTTTACCGTCAATCTCCCAGTGTAGATCATCGATGGCTGACCATCGAGACTGCAAGGTTCGTAAAATGTCCTCAAACTGCCATTTTTCTGTGAGGTTATCCAACTCGATTACTGACATTTTGTGAGCGAACGCCTTAAAGTTGCTCCTTTGTTTTTGCAACATCTCCTCCAATTCACTTGTTGAACCCCTAGATTCTATGATCGGGTTTATGCTAACCTTACTGGTACTAGGCCCTGGTATTGGGTACGTTTTAGTTTCTACCCTGGGAGAACTAATGGGCGTCGTAGGTTTAGGGAGAGCTTGTTCGATATGTGCTTTGGTGTTGTTATAGAAGTTCAGTGCTTGATCATAATGGTTGCCTACGAAGTATGGTATATTATTCTTATCTTCGTACGAACAAAGGCTTGAGTGGTTACGGTGAAACTCTTTCCAGTAGGTGTCAAGAGTTTCCAGTTTTTTAGAAACGTATTCGACAGTCCTGCGTTCCCTTCCTGCCTTCTTAAAGGACGACAGAAGTTGTTCCATCGCCTGCACCAACTCGTTTTGGTTAACAAGTAAGGCTTCCATGGTTATTGAAGTTGTTAATAAATTGAACGATCTTACTTGAGTATGTTGTTTGCCGGAATGACAGACTGGTAACGCTGGTCCTGCTCGGGGTGTGATGTCACAATCACTTTTGGTTTGTGGTTCTGTATGGTTAAGTCGCTGGTTTCTGCCGACACTTCACGCGAGTGATCCTGCTTGTGACCAACACGCGCGAAAGGTCAAAAGCTCGAAGGACCAAGATGTACGGAGTGTCCGTACATACAAAATAAAACTCCGTAGTTAAAGAAGAATTTTGGTTTATTCTTAGAACTACGGGTGAGAATGTTAATGAGCACACGCGAACGCTATGGTGATTCTACGTGAACTGGTTATGAACGATTGTCGCGCGTGTTATAACAGTTGAAAACTCTTAGTCAGGAAAAACATGTATTGTGCGGTGTTTACACCGTACATGCTCCCGAAGGCAGAGATCGTAAGGGTGCTAAATGGTGGTGAGTGACTATGGTACATGGTGATTATAAAACAATAAGTCTTAAAAGTAAGTGAAATTACAAAACATATAAAGAAAAGGAAATTAATTAGTGTTTGTGTCACTTTTACACCGCATCACTGTGGTCACTGTTATGATCTATAGTTTGTCGCGCACTCCCACGGGGACGCGGCGGCGGC